TTTATTGGGGGACAATTGGCATACAAAAATCTGTTCCTATTATTAAATATGCAACTCAGTGAGTTTGGAGATACGTGTACCAAAATCTGTGCCATAAACATTTCCCTATAACAGTTATTTTAAAGATTTCTAGGATGACTCCTACACTTGACTCAGATGTTGTTATTTCTATCTCATAAAGAAAATTACTTAATATGTGAAGTTACCAACTCTATTAGTCGCTTATAAGTCTTGTGTGCCAACAAGCCTTCCTTCAAGAAAAGTAGCAGGGTCAAAGTCTAAAAACAAACAGCCATTTTATGGTGGGGGGGGGGACGGTGGCAGGGGTAGAGAGAAAGTGAGAGCAAGCCATTTTTTCATACAATTTATAAACAGAAAATAAGGATCATAGACTTGATATTAACCTGTAATTACACACCCAGTTTTCCCTTGCCAGCATCTATGTTTGCATTTCACCTCACCAGGATCTAAAAGAAGTGACTGAGCATATAAAATTGTTTTTTTCTCATTCCTTGACATCGTTTTATAAACTAGCAAAGCAGCTTGCGTACTCTCAGTGAGCGAGACAAACCACTATCTCACTGAACATGTACAGAACCCATATACAATCTTAACTCCTGAGAAAATGTAGCTGCGTGTTCCTATCCACTTTCGAAATATCTAGCCTCATCCCTGATACCAGGAAGAGCAGAGGGTAGAGTTCATGGACATTGCTTCTCAGGGCGGGAAACTTTCCCCTTTGCCAGTCACCTGGGCCATACTGCTGTCGAACCCCTCATCCCAGCACCGTGCGGGCGGGCTCTGTCTTTAACATGTGCCATCCAGGGCCCACGCTGGTTAAAGAATCCGACGAGAACTGGGCCCTAACAAGCAACTGCAATCCAAGTCCGGGAAACGGATGAAGGGTGTGCGATTGCCCAGAAAGATTCTCTGTCCTCTACTCTTTTACCTCAGTCTCTTTGTCTGGGCTTCTCATGTGGTCGGTCCCTGGAGAGGACTGCGTTTACTATTACCTTTTCTGTTTTTCCAGGCAAGGACTCTTGAAAGTTCCTTTGGCTCCTAGCAGGAACTTTGTATACTGTGTTCTTTGTCTCTCCCTTTGTCCCCTTCCTCTTAAATCCTTCTCCCCTTTTCACAGCCGCAGACTCTCAGTCCAGGCAGACCATCTCCTCTAATGGCCATGCATCTTTCTCATCGACAGAACGCGCCCTCGGGCCCTGCTCCCGTGGGACCAAGTCTAGCTTTACCCTGTGTTTTATTGACCTGAGCCTTGAGAGGGCCGTCAGGTTTTGCATGTGGCTTGCCTCTGCATGGCAGACCCATGGAACAAAGTGGGGAAGGGCTGTCCTGCAGCTGCCACTACTGTGTCTTTACTGTCGCTGATAGTTATAAATCTTATGTCAAACAGAGATTTGCCTTCTATTTCTCGCCACAAGGGAATGGGAAATAATAGCGCACGTTCGATGTTTGACCTCAAAGCCATCGTGCGTGCTTAGGCTTTAAGATGTCACGGTTCGAGGGGCACCTGGGTGGCTCAGTCGATAAGCGTCCGACTTCAACTCAGGTCATGATCTCACGGTTCGTGATTTCGAGCCCCGCATCGGGCTCTGTGCTGACAGCTCAGAGCCTAGAGCCTGCTTCGGATTCTGTGTCTCCCTCTCTCTCTCTGCTCCTCCCCCGCTCACACTCTGTCTCTCTCTCAAAAATAAATAAACGTTAAAAAAAAAAAGATCTCATGGTGACAGTACAGAGCAAGTTACGTAATACAGTACAGAGCCTGCTTGGGATTCTCTTTCTCCCTCTCTCTCTCTCTGTCCCACCCCTGCTTGCACGCACACACACTCTCTCTCAAAATAAATTAAAAAATAAAAAAAGATTTTTGAACAAAGGATCAGTATAAGCTTTCTAAAATCCTTGTGAAATAGAGCCGAAAATGGAAGAGTGGGTGGGTGGGTGGATGGATGGACGGATGGATAGATGGACATTTTCAATATTACCTTTATTAACTCAACATTGGTTGAGCGCCTTCCGTATTTAATGTTCTTCCCACCCCCTCTCAGCCACATCTTCTGGTCCTGTACATAATATTTCAGAACTCTCTTGAATCCAGAACCTCCTCGTATCTTGCTTGAATGATCACCAACCCTGATTAATCTCACGTACTCCCTAATGCCACTTCATCTTTCTGCCATGGCCAAGGTCACCTTTGTAAGACAAAAAACTGACCGTGTCGTTCTCCTGCTTCACAGCTTCTACTAGCTCCCCGTTGCCTAAAGTTAAAATCCAGATTCCTCGGCGTGCCTTACTCAGCTGTCGGATCTCTAGTGACAATTTCCTTGCCTGGTCTCATTTCTCCCCATCTCTCCGCACACTCTGTGCCGCAAGCACGATAGTGTTCTTGCCGGGAAAGACAACCTGATTTCAAAACACCACTTGCTAGCTCTATAAAAATGGATCTAAAGTCACTCCCTCATTCCCTCAGTAAGAGGGAAATTGGTTGTAAAGGGTAAGGACTGTAAGGACATGAAATGTAATATGAGAAATTATCTAGCTCCTAACTAGCTTTCTATCTGTACCTTTGTAATATCACTCCCTCTACCTGAGGTATACCTATCTCTTCTCCATGTGACAAACCTCTCCTCAGACCCAGATCAACAGGCATCTTCTCTGTGGTTACATTCCAGCCTCCTGCAGACTGAGTTAGATACATTCTTATTTGAGCTCCCACAATAACTCAAGGGCATTTATTATATCATGATATGATATGATATGATATGATATGATATGATGATACAATGTGATATGATGATATGATATGATACATGATATTGTAAGATCCTTTTAAAAAAAGAGACAACATCCTTTTTTAAAAAAAATCTATACTTTATAACCTGGTTCATAATAGCCTTTCAAAAAATATTTGTTGAACGAGTATATGAAGTCACTTGTGCTGGGCTCTACAGTCCAGCTCTTGAAGAATTCACACAACCTCAAAGGGTAAGAAACAAACAGACCCAAACAAATAACCACAGTGCAAGTCTGAGCGGAATAAGAGCTCTGGAGGTAGAATCAAGTGTAACAGCCGCCGACCCCTCTACCAAAGGGCCAGGGGAGGAGGGAAACCTTCACCAGTAATGGACATCTGAGCTGAGTCCTAAAGCCTGTGTGTGGATTTAACTTCCAATTTTGCCTTAACCTGTCCATGTATTTATTATGCCCACTCCTTCCTCTTTATGCCCTACACCCCCAAGCTTTCGTGGCAGAAGGCTAGAGAATTTTTAAACCTTGGCCAGTAGTTCCCAGGAGATGCCATAAAGGAACAGATAAAGAGTTTTTCATAATGCAATTTTGAGTGGCAGCTGTAGTTTTGCTTATAAACCCTGAAGCCTGTAAATTACTGACAAATCAGCATATCTTTGAAGATGAAAACAGACTACACCAAGAAGATAAAGGTTTGAAAACTAGAAAGCCATAGAAATCTTATGTTTTCATTATATACTGACTGAGAAATAGATATTTTTTTTAGCTTCTAAGTAATTAGACTGCCCAAGTGAAATTGAGAAATGATGAACCATGACATCTATTTTAATATGATGTATAAAGTAATTCCTGCCCTTTTTTTTAACAACACAGGAGGATATTCAATAAAATTTGCATATAGGATTTTTTAAAGAAAGGATTTTAGAATATGATAAGCAATGAAAGTCTAGAAATGCTAAATGAGGAACCCAATAGAGCATGACTATAATCCTAAGTTAGCATTTTGTAGCATCTTCTACATCTAGCACTTGATGGTTCTGATTGAGAAACTCTAGTAAACATTGAAATGGCTTCCTTCAGTAGCACTGACTCCAAAATTAAATACCTCTGTTTTGTGCCAATTGGAGTCATCGCATTGCTCCCCTGATGACAAATTCTACAGAATGTCCTAATAATGATAATTATGGGTACCATTTATTCAGTGTTTGTAATATGCCAGGCAGTGCGCTCTACAAGATTTTTTATTTTTGGAAAGTTCATTAGAGGTGCAAGCTTCCATTTTTTTATTCTCTACATCACCAAAGCTCAATATATTTCATACCACATATACCAGAAGCTTAGCGAGGTAAAAGGAAGGTACTTACAAGCACTGCTTTGAGAGTTATCCTGGAGAAATGAAATATGGCTATTTAGAAAGAACAGAAATTGCATTTGAAATGGCATGACCTAAAACACTAGAAAAAAATCTATTTCTCTATTAGCCAAGAACAGTTATCAGGCAGACAATGTGGTCAGCTTCCTTTCTACTCAGGCCCCCCAGACAGAATCCCTGTGTCCTTTGGTTTCCCAAGATGTCGCCTTCTTCAAAGAGCTGGGGGGATTTTGAGGGAACCTCCTCACAGCTGTATCTAACTTCAGGGAACTCACTGCAGATTTTTGAGAAATCTGCCGTGTCTGGTTCTGTTGCTCAATTTCCATACCTCCAAATCCAGAATGTTCAGTATTGAAAGTTTAATACCGAATACAACTCATTTGAGGTAAACAGCCCCCAAAGACTTGATTGTGTTTGTTCCTGCTTTTTTGTGAATGTAATCATTTTCTCTTTTTAACCTTTTTAAAGAAAAGCTCTAGTGATTCTAAAGATATTTTAAAGTCTTTGGACCACACATGTCAAGACTGTTAGTGGAATTTTAGGCCACAGAGTAGGAAACATGGTCGTTTGTATTTATTTTTAAAATCATTATTTGAACACTCTACAACTCATGAGCCCTCAGATTTGTGACCAAAAGGGGGAAGTAAAGGCAGTAAATTTCGATTAAAAGACTGAAAATTGGGAGAAAAAAAAAAGGACAACAGTTTGGAGATTGTTAGATAGAGAGTAAGTAGTGTTAAAGACAGTCGAGTACAACCGAAGGGTCTCCAAAGGTATTCCGGTGGTAAACGTGAAGCGCTTGTTTCTTTGCAGAGCGAGAATGTATTCACGAGCCCTCACATTCTTTCCCTGACATTCTTTCCCACAGATCGAATTGCACAGAACATCATTAAGTCCCACCTGGAGACGTGTCAGTACACCACGGAGGAGCTGCACCAGCTGGCATGGCAGACCCACACCTACGAGGAAATTAAAGCCTATCAGAGCAAGGTACTCTGGGAAACTATGACAATGTTTCTCCCTGTGATGTCTCTATTTCCGGCTCTCTCACTCAGCGTTATTGACATTTGGAGCTGGATAAGCCTTTGTGTAGGGACTTGTCCTGCACGCTGTAGGATGGTTAGCATCATCCCTCATCTCTACCCACTAGATGCCAGTAGCAACCCCCTCACACACACAGTTGTCACAAGCAGGTGTCTCCAAATGTTCCCTGGAAGGCAAAACCGCCCCAATTAAAAAAAAAAAACAAAAAAAAAAAAAAAAAACACTGCCCTATTTAAGTGACCAGGGAGACTGTGCCCACATCAGATGACTTTAGAACCTTTTCACGGTGGCTTCCTGGGGCCAAGCAAGGAAGAGAAAAGATTGAGAAACTATAGCAGTAATAATAGTTGTAAATCTATACTACAAAGGTATGCAATAAAGCACCTTTAATGTTTCTCTTGCCCTACATGTTTAAAAGGGCCAAAGGGAAAAAAAAAAGACAACTCACCTCATTATTATTACCATTATTCTTTTGATTGCTACTTTGTCCATTAGAGAAGTTTTTAAGAGAAGGAATTTGCTGCTGTTATATATTCACGTTACTTTCCTGTGGGGTTGATAGCCACAATTACAAGATCTACTAGTAAATGACTGGTATTATCATTTTATTTTAAATAAAATATATAAATGTGTCTACACCTGAACATATGATTACAAAATACTGATTTTTCTCCATGGGAACAATCATATCTTACCCCTTTTATGTAAATAAGGAAACAAAAGCACAGGTACTGTTATGGTCAATAAAAAGCAGAATCAATACACTTGGATTTATGTTTCCAAAGAAAATAACCCCAGGATCAAAATACATTTCTGAGATTCTGTATTACTTAAGAGAGTGATTTGATTTGAGGTCTTTTCCCGTGAAATTCTTTTTATACCAAAAAAGCAACCTCCAAAAGTTCCGGGAAAAGAACACAACGTAAAAATCTTACAGATTTAGTGTCTGCTGGGCACACGTAAAAGTGACCATACAGAAGCCTGGGAACGAAATCACTAGTCCTCAGTGCAAAAGTTTGTTTTCACAAAACGGACTAAGAGCCTGAGTTTGTTTAGGTGAACAGGAGGAGGAGAAAGAGTAAAGAAACTGTACATATCTATCTTTCCATATTATTGCAGTGTTTCCATTATTTCGGTCTCAGTACATTGACATTTGTGCCATAGCAAGGCTCAAACAGGGCAAAACAGTCTGTTCGAAAATACTGTCTTCCTCTTTGGAAGGAATGGGGTAGAGTCCCACCTTGGGCCCCAAGTGACGGGTGAGCTCCAGGAGGGAAACCCTGAATGTTGCATTGACTCTCCACGTTGCTTTTGCTCCATGTACGTTGTGTGTCTCGTCTCTTGAAGTCTAGGGAAGCACTATGGCAGCAATGCGCCATCCAGATCACTCACGCCATCCAGTATGTGGTAGAGTTTGCAAAGCGGATAACGGGCTTCATGGAGCTCTGTCAAAATGATCAGATTCTACTTCTGAAGTCAGGTAAGCGAGGAGAAGATTCATGGGTGGGGCACCTGTTTTAGCCCGGGAGGTGGTCAACCCTTTGCTCAGTGTTGGCTGTAGAAAAATCTTCCTTCCAGTATGTAGTTCATTTTTACCACCCACACTGTCAGCCAACTCCCAAAGGAAACTCTCAGTAATAAAAATGCCCTGATACTCATTCAGTTCCCCTTTGAAGTCAAACACAATTTTGCTTATTAAAAGTGGAGCTATTAATTGCGGAGGTTGAGATACCCAGCTTGACAGGCAGTGCAAGTAATTAGCATGTCAAGGTGGCTGAATTGCTGAGCTGGCTCTAAAATGCACTACTTGCCTTCTGTTGGGGTGGGGGGGGGGGGCGGAATCCAGGCTAGCAGAGCTCTGCCTCTGTGGTCATCTCCAATCATTTTAATGAGGATAGCCTGCAGCCAGTACAGACCCGGAGAAACTCCCTGAGCTCTAATCCTTCCCTCCCCTTCTTCCAACACATGCTCTGTGACACACGCACACTTAGGAAGGAGCTCAAGAAATTCCGCACATGACTGACCTCGCAGATGGTATTACCCAAACAGGAAACAAATTTTCTTTCCCTGACCCCCACCTTTGAAAGTAGAAAATAAGAGCCACCATGGTGTTTGTTAACCCTCATGGACCTGGGCCAGAGTACTAAGCATAACATGTATACGTGTGCGTGTGATAACGCACCTGCATATGTTAATGTTTGCCCATGACAGCTCATTTAGTCTCGTGACACCAGTATTATTTCCATCTTATAGAAGGAGGGGGAGATTCAGAGAAGTGAAGGGCTGTGTTCAATATCACAAAGCCAACGTATGGCAAAGCTGGCATTTGAACTTGGGCCAAATAGAATAGGTATAAGTCGCTGCTGCTTTCTCACCACGTGATTAAAGTTGATGCAGACCTTGACCCAAACATGAACTTGACCTATCAGTTATCTATTGCTGGCTAAAAACAACCCCAAAACTTAGTTAAGATGACAGTAATCATTTATTTTGCTCCCAAAGCTACAATGTGAGCAGGGCTCAGCGAGGAATGCTCCGTGTGGTGTTCACTGAGGGACTTGAAGGAAGGCAGGAGGATCCGCTTTTAAATTGTCTCCCTCAACACGGCTGGCACTGTGTGCTGATTGACGATCCCGAGTTCGGCCAAGGCTCTGGGCCACAGGCCCCAGTTCCTCTCCATGTCAGTGCCTCCATGGGCCCCTTGGACTTTCTCATAGCATGGTTGTGAGGTTTCAAAAGCTAGCACGCCAAGAGAACAAGGCCACAGTGCATCGCATTTTTCTGGCTTACCTTTAAAAGTCATGCAGTGCTATTTCCACCCCACTCTATTGGTCAAGGCAGCCATGACGGCTCACCTGGGCTCAAGGGTAGATGAACTGGATCTTCCCCTTTTTTTTTTTTTTAAGTTTATTTATTTATTTTGAGAGAGAGAGAGCAAGCAGGGGAGAGGCAGTGAGAGAAGGAGGGAGAGAGAATCCCAAGCAGGCTCTGCACCATCAGCACCGAGCCCGATGCAGGGTTCAAACTCACAAGCCGTGAGATCATGACCTGGGCCGAAACCAAGAGTCGAACGCTTAACCGACTGAGCCACCCAGGCGCCCTGAACATGGATCCTTCTTGATGGGGGAGTGGTAAGGCTCTTACAAAGCATGTGGGATGGAACATATTTTTGCAGCTCTCCTTGGGAAAAAAAAAAAAATCTGCCACATTTGATACGTGACCTTGAGCTAACCTCTGTAGATGGCAGCTTCCTCATTTGCAAAATGAAGAGATGGACCAGAAATAATGAATTCCAAACTTACAATTGCATCAGCAGCATCAGAGGAGAATATTGACTGCTCTGAGTCGGAGGCATCATCGGAGGCCCATGGGTCTGAATCTCCTAGAAGAGAACCCAGAACCCACTTCACTGTCTTTCCAGCCAAGTCTCAGATATAACCAGTCCATAGACTGACATTGGAGAACCACTGCACCATATAATCGTGTAACATCCCTGCTGCTGTAAAAATGTTGACTCTAGTATAAAAGGCAGAGTACGTAACCTCCTTAAGCCTCCTGTAACTCACCTATAAGAAAGGGCTAATAAAAGTCACCCAGGAGGCACCTGGGTGGCTCAGTCAGTTAGGCATCTGACTTCAGCTCAGAGCATGATTTCACGGTTCATGAGTTCGAGCCCCACGTCAGGCTCGCTGCTGTCAGTGTGGAGCTTGCTTCAGATCCTCTCTCTCTCTCTCTCTCTCTCTCTCTCTCTCTCTCGACAAATAAATAAACATTTAAAAAATCACCTGAAATGGTATTGTAAGGAACAAATAAAATAATGCAAAGGGCCAAGGAAAGTGACTTCCACCCTATAAATACTCAATAAACGGTACCTATTATTGTTTTTGTCAGAAAAACACTGTTTTAATTAATATTGACAAGTCCCCTTCTATGTGTAAGCCCCTGTGCTAGGTGGCATATAAGGGAAAGCAAAGAGAAATCAGCAGATCAAAAAAAAGAAGACAGAGACATAAATACTAAGTGGCAGCATAAGAAAGGCACCACGGGTCCCTTGGGAACACCATGGATGTAACCAAAGCACCCGTATCATGCTTTCCTGCAAATTGGTGGTTTCTGAGTCTGGCCGTCACCTTCCAACACACTTTGGGGCAAAAGCCCATTTGTCCATAATGTGGAGAAACTGCACAGCGCTGGTTCCTCAGAGCATCAATAAATGTTCAGAGGGAAAAACAAAGGTGGCAAACTAATTCACTCACGAAATATTTATTTATTTACGTGCCAGGAACTTTTCGAGGTCCTGGAGCTGTACTAGTGAATAAAATAAGCACCACTACCTGTGGCTGAGGACAAAGGTCCCGCCCTCACCGGGCTAACAGTGAACTCAGAGAAATGCTGGGCCCATTGAGGTTGAACAAGTTTCTTCATGTTGGGACTTTCCCAAGCCTTTGATCTGTGAATGTGGATTATAACTCTCTGAAGTGAGATAATATTCAGTATTTTGCCAAAACTCATTTGACCAAGAAAACTTCCATTTCCAAGACATCAGATGTAAATGGTGCCCTCAAGAAACACCCTCAAGGGGTTCCTGTATAAAGTCATCCTGTGCTGAAATATACATGGAGGATGTTTAAAACTGAAACAGAGAGCAAGTTTTCCCAACAGCAAAACTTTTACAAAAGTTAACAAACTGCAAAGCTCCTTGTGAATTCATGAGTGGAAAATACCTTTAATACTAGTCCAGAAAACAAAAAACAAAAACTATGTATGCTTCCCCAACACGTGTTGTTGCTGCCCTACATTTTAGCCACCTTTAAGGTATATTTTATCTTTAATTCCTCACGTAAGCATGTCGAGAGGTTTCTTTCTAATATAGTTATCTTTTACTTGGGAAGAAATCTTGATGCATTTCTGAATGTGTGTGTCTGTGCATCTCCATGGGTATGTTTTTTAAGTCTGTTGACCTAAATACAGTAAGAATTGCTTTACTATTGCACATATATACCTATTTTCTTCCCTTTTTTTTTTATACATAGGTTGCCTGGAAGTGGTTTTAGTGAGAATGTGCCGTGCCTTCAACCCATTAAACAACACTGTTCTGTTTGAAGGAAAATATGGAGGAATGCAGATGTTCAAGGCCTTAGGTAAGTCTACCTTTGGTGGTGACATAATTTTCTTAGCTGCCTTCAGTTTCTCCACTCAGATCGAAGTGGGTAAATGAGATGCCTTGATTCTTTAATGTGAACTGGTATCTCATTTGATAAGGTCTGGACCAGGTGAGCCTCCAATATTTTATCCAACCTGTGAGATGCACAATCGTGCATCCTAATATGAAAGGCAGGAGAGAACCACAGACCCCATTGAGATCAACCACAACTCATTCAGAAATCAATGAAGAGCTGGATGTGTTCTAGATCATTCTTTGAAGGATCAATTTTTATTTTCCTTGTAGCTTACTGCCACACAGAGTATATTAGGTAGACCTCTGGTGGTCCATGGGTGATCTCTTAAGTTTCTTATGTAAATCGATAATCATTCGTTAAGATATTTAATTAAAAGAAAAGCTTCTTCACTGGCTTCTCGCTAAGAGCACTGAAATTCTTCCTGTTAAGTCATGCAGCTCTGGAAGCACAGATAGAGTGGGTGCCAACCTGCCTCAAATGATCCCCAGACCTTTCCTGTGGGTGGGCACGGGCAGAGTCAATCTTCGGGAGTGTTGTGTACCATTCACATCCAGTCATCAGTACACGGTGCAGATAAGAACGTTAGCAAAGATGGGCCGATGCCAGGAAAGGTTTTCACGATGACGGTGCCACTTGTTCCATACCCGGCCCACGGGCATCACGGAAGGCCAGTGCCCTTTCACCTTTTGTGCTGTTAGCTGATACGGTAGCTAACAGCAAGTCCATCCGACAGGCAGCGTTTCCCTTCTGCAGTTGATACACATCCATGTCATCTACAAGGCTAGACTTTCAAGAAAGGAGGAAAAGTCTTGGCAGGCAACTTGGCTGTATTTCCAGCTTCATAAAATAAACATTTACCAAGGATCAGTGTAGGGATGAAGCATTATTATGCCAAAATTCACAATTGCTAAGCGACTGACCTGAAGCATCCATCAGAAAGCAGAAAGCAATGAATGCCTGCCCCCTCCGTAAGATTTCCCGGGAAGTTACCAAATTGAAAGGTACCTCATCTTCCATCTACAAGACGTTTTTAACATCTCAGTTTGAGGCCTCTCAGCGTTCTAAATTGCCAGGTTCAAGTGCCACTAAGACTGACAGCCCTTGGCCCCTCATACATCATGTTTTAGGTTTTCTGTGAATGCTATCTCTATACCAAAGGATCCCGAAATAACGTATTAAATTTTTTCTAGTTGGAGCTCATCTCAACATTACAAGATTAGATTTAGTTTATATCTTCCCAGGGGAATATAGCAATCAGCATACACCATTTCTGTCAGCCCCTCATTGGTGACGTCAATACTCCGTACTTGATCAAGACGTTTCCCAATTTCCTCATTCTATAATTATTAGGAACTTGGAAATATTGTTGCCTCGTGTGCAAGTCCTTGAGTAACTTTTCGACTATGGGACTTTCTTACTATTGCCCCATTCCATTCAAGTGTTCTCACTTAATCCGCCTTCTCTTACAGGTTCTGATGACCTAGTGAATGAAGCATTTGACTTTGCAAAGAATTTGTGTTCCTTGCAGCTGACTGAGGAGGAGATTGCTTTGTTCTCATCTGCTGTTCTGATATCTCCAGGTAAGGAGGTCGGAGGCTCTGTCTTAAAAAAAAAAAAAAAAAAAAAAAAAATCCTATCTTTAACGTGGATTATCCCCACTAAACCTAGGTAGTCAGCAGAAATTTGAAAGAACTGTGTTTACTTTGACAAGCTTGTGATATTTATGGACCACTCAAAGGAAAGTAGCCTTAAATTAATTAAAATGACCGATTTTGCCCCACAAGCAAGAGTAGGATGTGTGCTAAGGGTCACTCCAGATTCAGACAAGCGAAAGCATTTCTTAACAGATAAATGAAGACACACAGCGGCCTGAGTTACAGCTAAGTCCTATTTTGATTTTGAGAAGAAAAGACATCGAAAAAAAAAAAAAAAAAAAAAAATGCCCAGGAAGAAAAGTGAGACTTAGTAGAAATGTATTTAAATGAGAGATCCAGCATGAGAACAAAAGTAAATAAAACGTACACCTTCTCCTCTTTAAATACCTCTTGTGTTGGCTTCTCCACCTAAATTAGTGATATTAGGGGCTTTCAAAGGAGGTACGGACAACAGAGGGGAATATGACTCCCTCTAAAGACTGGAAAAGGAAGAGTCTCTGATGTGCCAGTGGACATTCCAGAACGGGGATCTGTCATCATTTATCTGTGAGACCCTAAATGCTCGACCTCCCAGACCCGCAGTTTCCTCGCCTATAAACAGGGTTTGACTTCATTTTAATGAAGATCATTTCTACCTAGCTCTAAAATGCAATAAAATACCAAAATTTTCAGAGAAGGTAAGGGGTGACGGTTATAGGCCACACAGAATTGTAGCAATTGAAATGCTGCTTAAAAGTATATGGCAGCTCGAAAATGTATAGATTGCTAATGAATACGTGGCTCCTTCAGCCAGAAGGAGAACTCGGTCTCTCAGCTGTCTGCTCGGTTAGAATTCGGTGAGGAGACGGCAGTGCCGTTTACAGTTCTCTGTTGGAACCCATTCCTAATAATTTTTATGGCCAAGAGCCTCATTCTTTCTATAAAATCCACCTTAGAGACGAGATTCCTTCTGATACCTTAACATGGTTTTCAGTGGGGCTGGAAGAAATTAATCTCACCGGTGACGGTACATTGACGTGTCATTCTAGTGATATCTACCAATAACCCCAGCCTCTACCCTTCCTATCAGTGAGGCTTTATCTATTTATTTTTAAGTCTTGAAGGTTTTTTTTTTTTAATGTGCTTCTGTTTTTTATTTAACCACATTATCAAAAATGGAAATTATCACTTGGCATGTTATCACTAACAGTTTCTTTTGTGGCTCTGTCTACAATCAAGCTGTTCTTCTAGGCCTCTTTTGGTTTTACTTTTTTTCTTTTTTTTTTTTTTTTTTTTGAACCTGACCAAGTTTCCCAGGCCTAGAAGCACAAAGATAAATGGGAGAAGTGACAAGAAAGATTTATATCTGATAGCAACCACATGCCAAATAATTTTCCTTGCTACCACTTTCTTATTGCATTTGACTGTTTTTATGGAATATAATTCAGCGTTAGATTCATTCTAAGCCTGTGGTTCTAAGATGAGGGAGGAGGCTTCATTCGGGTTCCTGCTTGCTCAAAGAACGTGTTGCCAAAGTTCACTGTCCTTGTTAGGTACGTTTGTAATAAGCCAGTAAATTCCTAGCAGCAAATACTTACGACATGGTATATCAAGCCTAAATAATCCATGAAGATAATTGCCCGAGATGTAAGGCAAGCCTGTTGTTTATAGGTCAGAACTCAGTTGAATTATAAGCCTTTTTGCAAACAGAACATAGTATAGCCATCAAATTCTGCTGGGTTTGGAAACAGGACATTTCTTACTCTACCTAGTGGAAAATCTTCCAGTCCTTGTAGCAGACCCACACTCAGAGCCTTCTGAAACTCTCAAATACCTCGTCTGCCACCCTGGCCTAGTGTCACATTCAAAAAGAGAGGAAAGACAGATAGATGTCCTGCTCTATCTCATGCCAGACCCCACCCTTCCCCCAGTTCTTACCCTAATAGCCACACTGTGTTCAGCTCCAGATAGTTTAGGGAAGGGAGAGGGAAGGAAACTTAATTTATTCTGATTGACAATTGTCACTGAAGGCTTTTGTGCTCACTTACGTAAGGGTTTGCTTAACTGTTGGCTAGACTTGTCCTTACCCTGTCTAGGATTACAGAATTGAGTTTCTTGCCTGACCTGAACTGTGTTCAGATGGATCATTTCCAAGTTCTTTTCCATGAGTATTTGTTCATCATTTGGAGACTCTAGATGTCTCTTCATTGAAGCGCCAACCTGAGGCATTGATGTTGGGCTGAATTTTGTCACCATGGCATATAAAGCTTCTTGGAAGAAAGGAAGGGAGGAGGGAGGGGGTGGGAGGGAATGAAGAGAGTGATGTTGGAAGGAAAAAAGAAAAGAAGGTAGGATGGGAGGAAAGAAAGGAGGGATTATCTTATCCACCATTTTAAAATTCCATGTAGAAAAACAGCTTAGTTAAATTTGGGGGATTAAATTTTTGAAACTGATACATGCAGATTCTATGAATTATAGTTTAAAAAGGGAAGGGGAATCCTGAATACAAAAAACAGTCCTGTGCAGATTTTCTTACTTCTATAATTCATTTTCTTCGTAAGTCACTGACTTCTACTTTGAAAGAACCTAAGGATATGTCCCCCCAAAAGAGTGAGAGATGTAAATGGTCACAGGCAATAAAAAAAAAAAAAATACTGGTGTTTATTGGAACCATTGGGTTCTAACTACTTCCATCCTCATTCCCTGTGTCAATGTATCTGGCATTACTGTCATCAGGGTATTTCTTATAAAATATGTGCAGTTGTGTAAACGGAAACTAAGCACTTATATATGTAGGTAAAAGGTTACATCCCCTCCCTTCTTACCTAATTCTTTTCCTTTGTCAGACCGAGCCTGGCTGATAGAACCAAGGAAGGTCCAGAAGCTTCAGGAAAAAATTTATTTTGCACTTCAACATGTGATTCAGAAGAATCACCTGGATGACGAGACCTTGGCAAAGGTAGGTCCTCAGATCGTAGAGCTGTGGCCACTCAAAGCACCGTGGCCAAAAAGGGCTAGTTATAAAGCAAAGGCATTTATCAGCAGCAACAATTTCTGGTGCATAAATGTTGAGGTGGCCATTTTAAAAGGGAGACTAGTAAATTATAATAGATTGAGAGGAGAATGACTTTCTTAGGAAAGGATGATATTGATGGATCTGGACCCCAGGCATAGGAAGACAAGCAAAGAAACCTAGAGCGTTTTATCTGAGGAACAAAAGCATGAAGCAGGGAATCAAGCCTTCAAAATTGACACGTGATGAAGGAGGAGACTTTGTGTCACTTCAGAAGTCAGATGCGGGCCAAAGTTAAGAGCAAGTAGATATTTATTCAAAATAAGAGAACTATAAAATGATAAGAGGGGTGCCTGGGTGGCTCAGTCGTTTAAGCGGCCAACTTTGGCTCAGATCGTGATCTTGCGGTTTGTGAGTTCGAGCCCCACGTCGGGCTCTGTGCTGACGGCTCAGAGCCTGGAGCCAGCTTCGGATTCTGCATCTCCCTGTCTCTCTGCCCCTCCCCTGCTCACTCTCTCTCTCTCTCTCTCTCTCTCTCTCAAAAATAAATAAACATTAAAAAAAATTTTTTTTAATGATTAAAATTGCTGACCAGAGGGGTACACCATGGTGAGGTTGTGAGCTCCTTGACATTGGTCATAGTCGAATAGATACCGCTTGGTTTCCTCTCAGGTGTCTTGTAAGTCAGAGTCCTTCCCAGAGTAGAACGCTAGACTGATTACTTGTACATTTTCCTTCAGTTCTAATCTTTTCACACAAGATATGCCCTGGGGTCCCTTCAAAATGGTGAAGAATCCCAGGGGCAAAATGCCATCAATTTCTCGGTTCAGCTTAATTAACAATAGTGATCTTTAAGAAGAGATGTTTACCAGAGTAGAATCCTCATAAGAGGAAGTATATTCTCACGATTGATACTCAACATTATTTTAGATCATAAAGTATCTTTGATTTCTTAAGAACTGGACTTTTTTAGCCGGTAAGCAACTAGGAAATGGGGCATATTCTTGGTTAAAGATGATAGGAATCCTAGTCTGTATTTATAAACATTAAAACCCTCCCACTTTGCTCTTAAAGTTCTTTATTTTTAAAAAAGGGGGAAGACTCTCTCTGAGATATTATCAGATATGATTTCACACATACAGAGGCTCCTTTAAAAAAAAAAACCTCTATGAATCAAATACGCTGTTTCATTATGGTGACATTTTTATTCAAATGAACACCTCATTTTACAGTGAAGAGTGATAGTTATCTTTGGTAGAACTTTCTACTTTTTATGTGAGCAAGGACAAATCACCTGGTCTCTGCACCTCAGTTTTCTTTGGGTCTAAGGCAAACCTTCCACATGCTTGCAGATCTCCTGGGCAGAAAAGATGGTTATAGAAATATATGCATCTGTTTCTATAATCGCTCTGCAGAATATACCATAAATACATCTGGCCACTTAATGGAAGGGGATGTTTCCTGCATTTCGGATGTCCCAAAGACCTCCCCATATTTGCCGTCTTAAAATTAAGGCCTTGATGTGAGGATAATGAGGATTATCATTTTTTGCTTTTGTACCAATGTTTTGAGGTTTAAGATATTACAGTGCATAAATTCTCACGCTGACACCATCTTCTACCTCCTGGTGTTCTAAGGGTGGCAGTCGGAGGTATTTGCTATAGAAAGGAGACAGAAATTGAAGCATGAAAGATATCTAATGGCAACAAAAAATAAAAATAAAACACTGACTGTGGGTCACGTCCCCTTTCCACTCGCCATCTTTCAGGGGAGAAGTACACAGTTCAGTCCTATTCTTATAAAGTGTTTTAACACTGGGGAGCAGAGAAAGAGTTAGGAGAGGATTATTTCTTGTATAAAGTTCACTGGAGCCAGATGACAGAGCACTGCTTCCACAGGTCCTGTGTAGGTACAGGGGTTTGTGTGGCCCCTCCTTGTAAGTCAGCATTTTAATAGGATGCTCTGTGGAGGGACCATGAAACTAAGAAGGGACCACCAGCTAAGGTGGAGGGACCATGAAACAGAATGAGTGCTGGATTCTAGTTTATCCCAGTCCTGAACTTTGTGGCTTTGGCTGAGTCATTCTATTTGTCTAAGTCTCAGATTCCTCAGCTGTCAAGGGCTGGGGGTGGCAGGAGGGATGGGTAAGTGTCTCAGGTTCCTGACTGCTTTAACCCTGGGAGGACCCTGTGCTATCGACGTATAGGCACGCCCTCTCATCGTGCCCGCTAAGAGAAATAATTTTATTTGTCTATCCTACCACAAATTCTCATCTTTGCAGAAATTCTCCTTCTGCCTTCATAGCCGTGGAACTCTTTGGCCTCTACAGTGCCTCTGTAACAGTGCCAACCGTTCTTAATATTTGTTATTTATAGACCCGTTGGGGAGCCTGGCAAACATCATGAAACCCATCTCTAGAAAAACGTGCACATACCCGACTGTGGCATTCCAGTCTGCGGTAGTTGGGGTACATCTGCCTTCTGGGTGATGTGCAAAGACTTTTTATAGTGCCGACCAGTTTGCCCCTGAAGGAATGTAACAGACATCAGGTGAGAGAGGCAGGGCTCGGATACAGTCACTGGGCTTCATCCTGAAAGAACAGTCTCCACCACACTTCAGCCGTGCTCACTTCCTGAAATGAAAGTTCAAGTAGCCGTGCCTTATCCTTTTGACCAAATTTGGACCTAGGGACGGTATGAGAATTCAGGAATTCTGTATCCACTCACTAGACGATTTCAATCCCAATATAGTAATCATTTTGTTGATTTAGTTATTTATATTAAAAAAAAAAAAACCCTTTTGGAGAACTTATTTTCCTTTCCTTATCAGCATCGTGATGGTATGTAGCATATTTATAATAAACCATCAGAGCCATTTCCTAGCTGAGTGACCCTGCAAAAGTGGCTTAACTTCTCTGTGCCTCAGTTTCCTCATTTGTAAAATGTGACTAAGGATAGTGTCAAGGTCATGTGGTTATTGTGAGGACCGAGTGGTATTACGTGCAAGCAAGCTGCACATCCATAATAGGTACGGTATGTAAGTGCTATTGTTGTAGCTGTGGACGGAAGAAATTCTGCTTCGGCAGGGAAATTTTTATTGGAAGTGGTATTTTTGAGTTAATCACGAATGGATGAAAACGCAAAAAAATGGAAGCTGGGGGCGCCTGGGTGGCTCGGTTGGTTAAGCACCCAGCTCTTGATTTCGGCTCAGGTCATGATCTCACAGTGTGTGGGATGGAGCCCCACGTTGGGCTCTGGGCCGACAGCACAGAGCCTACTTGGGATGTTCTCATTCTCCCTCTCTCTGCCCCTCCCCTGCTCATGCTTCCTCTCTCTGTGTGTCTCTCAAAATAAATAAATAAACATTTTTAAAACATGCAAGTTGGAGGGCTGAGGAGATGGGGTTTGGCATTCTAAGTGATGGGGAAATGATAAGAGGTAAGAAGGTACAAGGTGTGTTTGAACTATGAGTGATGGTTAGATCTGTCGGCATCCTGGATTTGAAAAGCCAGGAAACAAGAGGACACTGGTCACTTTTGCGAAGCTCATAAAAATAAAAAATGAAAAAAAAAAAAACCCACAACATATATATTTTTAAGCTCCCATCTGTTCTCTGAGTTTCACTTTCCCTGTCTAGGAAATGAGTAGGTTGGATTGGCTGGTCATTAAGGTCCCTTCTGTAGAATGTTCTTTGACTCCGAGAGAGAAAAACAAAGCTTGCTCCTGACATCTTCATTCATCCTCTAATACTCAGTGCAACAGACTCATCTTAAGGACTTTTTAGTCATTCTACCGTTACAGCTAATAAAGAAATAGACTGCTCTCACCAGGTCTTAAAGCTTCAAAGTCTTGAAGCCACAGTGATCTAGCTTAGGATGATATTCTGGCCCCAAAGCTGCAAAGAGCACAGTGTTTTCGAAGCCCCCGGCCGGAGCTCAGCATTCCTGTCAGGCCTTCAGCCGGGGCTCCATCACCTTGTGCGTTGGGTGCTGTGGTGGCTCAGTCTGAGGTGTTTACTTCCTGGGAGAGGAGCGTGCTGGGGGAGTTCCTGTTCCTGTGGTTCTCTTTCTCCACTCAGCTGAGACCAGCATGACCACTGCCAGGGTGCAGTGACTATTTCAGCTGCAGACTGGTGACAATTCCATTCTCTGGCCTCTGGGCTTCCTTTATGACAAGTCACTAAATCTGCCATTTTTGTTGCTCAGACCAGAGGACAGAGGGTGAAGGAAACAAAGGAGTGAAGTTAGTTCAGGACAGGTTGTGGCAGCACACTCATGGCCAAAGGCAGGGCTTTGATCCGGACGACTTGCTCACCTCCCAGCCCTACCCTAAGTGCAGCCTCTGGGTCAGGCCATAGCTGGAGGCTTGTTTGGTAAAGTCTTCAGCCCCTACTGTTGAGTCTCCTGGATAATCAGAGTCATGAGATATTAGGCAGTATATTTACTTTTCCTAGCACTCCTGTAAAGACACGCAGCCCTCCTGAAGGTATGTTCTTGCCCCAGGCTGTACTGAGAAGTTTACAAGTAGCAAACTCCGTAACAACACATATCCAATGGAAAGGCGTGGAGAGCTCGTAGGGCAAGTCGGACCCCCAAGCTCACTCATCTCGCCATATGCAGGGACTGGAGGGAGTGCCATTTTATTTTACCACAACTTCAGCGACGACCATGCCTTCAATGCACTTCTCCAAACAGTGTTCAATTGCTCGTGCCTTGTCATGCCCTATAGATGGGCCACGCCACCCTTCTGGGTGTTTTTAAACATACAGCTCTGTGCCAACGGAACTTCTAATTCTTCTAGAATATGGAGGAGTCTAGTTATTATGCTAAAGCTCAGAATGTCTCTCACTCCTCTCTTTCCTCCTATTCCTGGATGGCCAAAAACTTCTTACCTGCCCCTGTGGCTTTCTCTCTTCCACTCTTTTTAAGCCTTTGCTGCCAGGGAAGG